GCCCATTAGCAAATGATGCTATTGTACAAACGACCTCTCCCGAAGTGAGCTGCTCCAGGAGAAAGTAAGCTCAATCAAACCAAAAGACATGGTAAGAGCTGATTCTGCCCAGAAATAAAAGGCCAATAAATGACCTCTAAGAGGGGTCAGTCATACATAGGGAGTAAAAATATCTGTATTGGAAAATACAGACAGTTTAAAATTTCATGTAGAATTATTGCTAAGCTTCCATAGTTTGGAATAAAAATAGACATTAAAGGACAGCAAATTTTAGAAGGAGAGACTATTATCTTCAGCAATGGCAAACACTGAAGATCTAGATCTCCATTTGTTTGCAATTCTTTCCACTTCACTTCAGAAAAAAAGTTCCTTATGGTTTTCAAAAGATTCTACAAACTTGAACATGACCAGATGGGACAAACCACTATCATGCAACATACAATTGAAAATGATATACTAAAATGGCATATTTATCCCTTGCCTATGTAAGAGATCACCCACATTGGTGCCCCTGCCTCAGGAAATAGTTACAGTATATATCACCTTAATGCCAATATCTAGGTCACTAACAGAGAATCTTTGGCTTTTCACAATTTGCGAATGAGTCCCATATTGCTATGGGTCAAATGTGTTCCCCAAGTTGATGTATTGGAAACTTATCTCCACTGTAACAATGTACAGAGGGTGAGAAATCCAATTATGATACTTGAAAGGAGGTGCCTGTAAGAGAAGATTAGATTGTGAGGACTGTGCCCACATGAATGGATTCATGCATTGATGGAGTAGTAGGTGTGGTTCTGATGTTTATAAGGAGAGGAACTGAGAAGGTTAATTCTCTCTTTCTCAGCCCATTCTCACCATGTGACACCCTGTGTTGTTTATAGAGTCACCACCAAGAAAAATGCCCTCACCAGATGTGTTTCTCTGGACCTTGGACTTCCCAGCCTCCAAAACTGTAAGAAATAAATTTCATTTCTTTATAAATTACCCAGTTTCAGCTGCTCTGTTATAGGCAATGGAAACAGACTACTATATACATCAACAGCTCTATAGCTCTTTCTTCCTCCAGATGGGCTCCAGGTCTATCATGTGAAGTCTGATGCCCTGTGGTTTGAAAACTATCTAGGTAGCTAAAGTTTTCAGGTCTCTGAAAACTTTTTTGATTTATTATTCATAGTCTGGGATTCTATCCTGTCATACATAATAGCAGGAATTCATCAGACTTATAGTCTACCCCTCACAGCAAGCTTCAGGTTCTCTGTCATTCATGGTGGCCTAGGACGATGGCAAAAGTTTGCATATGCTGCTTTTGGATAATGTATGTATTTTTACAAGTACATACAGTATCCAAAGATGAGAGAGTAGAATTGCAGGGGTGGAAGACAATAAGCTCATCCAATGCAGGTAACAGAATTAGTGACAGAAAGCCAAGGGAATATTTTAACTAAAGCAACAGAGGAGAGAGTATGGTCTAAAGCTGTGGCTCCTAAAAGTTTGATGAGAGAGTAGAATTGCAGGGGTGGAAGACAATAAGCTCATCCAATGCAGGTGACAGAAAGCCAAGAGAATATTTTAACTAAAGCAACAGAGGAGAGAGTATGGTCTAAAGCTGTGGCTCCTAAAAGTTATCTACCAGTAACCTCTTTTGGAATCAGACTAAATTCCAGGTATCCTCCCACCTTTTCCTGTCATTACTTACAAGCTAAGAAATACACAGTTTGCTAAATTCCATTTTCAATGTTATGCTCATTTTAAATAATTTTAATTTAAATAATTACTAATGAATTTTAAAAATTTATTGCCTATATGTTTTTCCCTTTCTACAAATTCGCATCCCTTTCTATCAGAAAAAAGTTGTCAGTGATCCTAATCTTCAGAAATTTTCTTCCTTTTTCTA